TGGAATCTAACAGACCTATCGTTGTTCTGCATTTACCCCGATAATCCTTCTAATTTTCTTCTCTGTTTTTTTTCTCTTTCTCTCATTCGAGAAAGTACATGCATCAACAGCGACGACATTCTGTTCTCGCCGAAACGTCATCTTTTGGTATTTCGATTATTTACACGAAAGTGTGAACGGTGCTAATTGAAGGGTGAAGTGGAGGGAGAAATATATATCAAGAAACTATTAAATAAACTCAATGTTTTCTCGCTCGAGCTGGATTTTTCACTTGGGAATCAAGATCGTGGACACGACATCGTCCCTGCGAATATTTTCCGTGAAAAAGTGAACAAAGTAAATTATAATATTTTCACTGAACGAAATTAAATTATCGTTAGAAATTAAAGAAAGCACGGAAGATTTTCGTGGAGTTCTCTCGCGAAAGAATAAAAGAAAAATTGTTTATCCTCGAAGGATGCAATACCGAGAAAGATTGCAAAGCGAAGGTTTTATTGACGCAATGCTTTTAATGGGTCGATGGTGAATCCTCTGTTAGCGATTACTTTGGCCGTACGAAATGATCAACGACCTCCCGTGTATATTTCGATGCAGTATGATACGAACTTTCGACTTCCCCTTTAACAAAGCAGACGTTTTTCTACATTTAACACGTTCCGTGCCATGTGTACCACCGGTGGTACACGTTAAACTTCATCTTCAGGCCATATTTCTAACAATATTACCACAAGTGATAGCTACTCTAAACAAGAGACCTACTCATCGATTGATGATGTAATGAAAGATTGTGTGATAATATATCGTACACCTTTAGTCAAAATATCGAATAGCCTGAACGACAAAAAAAGACAAAAATGGCTTGGCACGGAACGTGTTAACTGGAAGAGGAATCTCAATTGTTTAGCGCGTGTACGTGAGAACGTGAAACGTTCAAGGCAATTCTATTCTGCAATCAACTGCAGAACTCGGACCGATATTTGCAAGGAGACGATCACGTCCACGATCTCGTGGATAATGAACTGCAAAAGACTGGAGCTGCTCCGTCTCGCAAAGAGCAGCCACCGAGCTCGACTTTCCTCTCCCCTGCTACGAAGAACGAGTACTCGAAGCTCCGTCCTCTTAGCTCTTCTTCGACGACAGTTCGTGGAAGAAAGCCTCGATGGGGAGGGTCGGCTCGTCGGTGGGGATCTTGAAGTGCGGGGAGGAGACCAGCCTGCTCTCCGGGGACACGGCCTTGAACATGCCGGGCTTGTCGTAAAGGGCAGAAGCGGAACTGGTGAGGTCGGCCACGCTCTGCGACGCTTTCGCGAACAGTTCCTCGTCCTCCGATCGGACCTCGAACGCGGTCGTGGTTTCCGTGACTTTGCTCTCGCTTCGCGTGGTCGTAGTTTCCTCCAGCCTCGTCGTCAAATACTGTTCCGACGTGACGCTGGCCCTCTGCTCCACGCTGCTGTCGGTGCTTGTTCCGACGCGCGGAATCGGTTCCAGCGTCGATGGAAGGCTCGTGGAAGCGGCTTCTTCTTCCTCTTTTTCGACAGTGGGGATCTCGTTAGCGGCGAGTTTCGTGGTGCCGCTGGTGGTAGTGACCGACGAGTAGAAACTGGTTTCTTCCGCGGCCATTTCAGTGGCTTCCGCCTCTTTTCTATCCGGATAACTCGCGGTCGAGCTCTGCGCCGGCAGCCGGCTTTTCATCACCGGTCGTCGTCGCACCGACGACGAGAACACGTTCTCGGGCCTGGCTGTGCCAGCCTTCGTCTGCGAATCGCTGTCGTAATGACTCTGCGACCTGTGGGGGGCGTTCGTCGTCCCTGAAACCCTGCTTCTGTACACGTTGCCATTCACCGGTCTCCTCTTCGGCACGAAACGGTTGCTCCTCTCGGTCGTCGAGGAGATTCCTCCGTCTTCGACCACCGAGTCTTGATTCTTCGCCACGGCGGGACTCGCCGAGGACGTCCTGTAATTCACCCTCGAGACGTACTTGTACCTTCCTGTCGTCTCTCGCCCCCCTTCGGCGTTTTGTAACTGCTGCTGCTGACTCTGTTGACTACTCTTGTGACTACTGGCACCTCTCTGCCTCGCGTGCGACGCTGGCGTCGCTGACGGCTCGGTGCTGGGAATCTGAGCTAATCTGCTCTTGTAATCCAATCGGCTCTTGTAGTCCTTGATGCTGAAGCGCGGTCTGGTCGTGTTCCCGTACCTAATCGGTCGGATCTTGTGGGATCTGCTGGTCGACGAGCTCAACGACGGCGCCTGCGTGCTCGACTGTACGGTGGACGTGGTCGTCGGGGCGATCGTCGGGGCGATCGTCGGGGTGACGCTTTGACTCGTACTTACGCTCGTGCTGGTGGACACCACGGCCCCTCGATCGAAGTAGTTACCTTCCGTTCTAACGAATAGGTCCTCCAGCGGGATGTTCGTGGCGACTGGCGAACCTTGCAACTGCGGATCGTAGCTCTCGTTGCGTGGATCTTCCTCGGGTCTCAGCTTCGTCGACTCGGTGTAATATTCCAGCGGTATGGCCTGCGTGCTGTCCTCGCGCTGTTCCTCCACTGTCGCGAACTCGAACTGTTGTTGGTTGGGCTGACTGGTTGCGAAGCGAGCGTTGTACTCGTCGTACAGTTGAACAGGCTCGGTCGGACTCCTGTACGTGTTCACGGGCGTGTGAACGATCTCCGTGACGATCTCAGCTTCGAAAGGCTCGCCCGGGTTCACTCTGTTCCTGTGGCCCGGCCGTTTCCTGATGTTAGCTTTCTTCTCGGTCACTGTCTCCTCCTCGTACGTCACCGTCTGCGTAGGCTTGATCCGTTTCCTCTTCGCGGCCGCGTCCACTTGCTGCACCGCGTCTTCTTGTTTTTCGTACTTTAGGTAGTCGTCCGTCGCTGGCACAGCTGTGACAGGTTCGACAGTGGTGGTGGTGGTGGTGGTTGGTCTCCTCCGACGTAGCGGGGAACCTGGTCTCCGAGTTCTGGCCTTCTGCGTGCTCGCCGTCGCCGGCGTGACAGCTTCTGGCACGGTGGTCGTCTGTACAGGCACTTCCTCCGACACGTGCAGCGTCACCGGAACAGAGGTCTCTGGAACTTGGACCGGAGTTTCCGTTGGCGTTGGCTCGTACGACGCGGCGTGGCTCGGTTTTCGCCGTCTATATTGATCGCGCGATGGCTTCTGCGGCCTCTGAGCTCGTACATCAGTCTGCTGTTCCCGGTAATTCACTTGCTCCTGCTGATTCTTCGAGTGATCCTGCAACTGCTGGCTCTGGCCGGCGCTGGGTCGCTCCGAGAACGAGTAATCCGGTTGCAACACCTACAATGACATTTCATTCAACAAGCTTTGCCGAGCGATTTCGGAATCGGTGGTTGAAATCGTGACTAGATGCTGTTTTCGTTGTTTAACGCGCACTTTGGAATTCTACTTCATTGGGGATCGTGTCGGTTCTTTGGAAGATCCCCGACGAACTTGCCAGTCGACGACCTCAATTGAAATTACGAAAACAACAATCTTTAAATTAAATTTAATTCCAAGAGCTTCGAAAAGAATTGATTCTTCGATATTTTGATACGCAAGTTCCTCTCTACCAACTACTAAAGAGAAAGAAAAGGAAAAATCATTAATCTCTTGTGCTGGCAACTAGTTCGCGGACCATAACGAGTGACCATATTGATACTTCTTACTATTATTAATACTGAGGAATTGCCTGTATTTAAATATACTTAAAACTGAGGAAATTTTGCGATTAAAAATTCTCAACGTGCGTGGCTAAAAATAATGCAAACGAAAAACCGACGCTCGTGCACTCCGTAAAGGGAGTAAAATTAATTTCCTGTCTGCTGAAAGAAACCTGCTGTATTCCACGTTCCGGTGAAACTGCCTCTGTCCAAGCAATACAACCCAACCCATCTAAAATCCCCCGTACCAGAAACCGTCGCCGGAAGTTTCCAAGTCGTGGCCAAATATTTTACAAAGCGACGTCCCTCCGTTCCCGCGCGAACGAACAGTACCTGAGACTGTTGAACCTTTGGCTGCTGGCCAGCGCCGCTCTGCTCGGTAATCACCGCGGCTAGGTCCGTGGTAACCTTCGGGATCTCGTATCCTGCCAACTGGATCGCGTAAGGCGATTGTCCCTCCGCGGGGATTTTCGTCAATTTCTCCGTGTGGTTGCTGGCCGATTCCACCGCCAGCCGTGCCTCTTCCTCCTCCTTCTGCTGCTCCAGCAGCAGCCTCAGCTCCTCCTGCCTCTTCTTCAATTCTTCCTGCTGCTGCCTCTCGATCTCCAACTGCTGTTGCCTCTCCTGCTCGGCCAGCCTCTGCCGGTCTCTCTGCAGCAGCTGCTGCTGGATCAGATACTGCTGCTCGTTGAAATGCTTCAGCGAGATACTCTCCGGTGTTTCGTACTCCGGCTGGACGTCGATCGGCAATACGGAGCTCTGGAACTGCGGCTGTTGCGACTGCGGCCCGATGAACACCACTTTCGGCGCTTGAGGGATCTGGTTCGACGTTATGGACTCGTGGCTGAACTTGGACGGGGGATTCACTCTGGGCAGCACCTCGTTTATGTCCGACGTCTGGTATTTGCTCTTCGGGACTGGCCACGCGGACGGCGGGGGAGTCAGATCCTGAGCTTCCGACACGTAATAGGTGTTGGCTATGCCCGCTGTGGGCAACAGTTCGCTCTCGACCTCACCACCTATGTTGTCCACCTGTTGTTGTTGTTTCACTTTGCCCGCCGTTTGGCCCGGTCTCTTGCGATCATGCGCGTTGTCCCTGGAGTTCTGTTGCTGGAACTTGCTCGACTCCTGCGTACGGGGAGTGGTAGGCGCAGGGACAGTGGACGACGAGTACACGTCGGGTGGCAGAAGAGTCTCGTATGGCAACGACGGCCTGAAATTGAACGGGTTGTAGATGGAAGGCGGCGTGATGTAGCTGATCTCGTGGCTCTCGTGCACCAGGAACGCGGGATCCCTCTCGAAGGAGGTACTCTTGTACGAGTGTGAGGGATGATTCACTTGGCTGTAGAAGTTGCCCGTGCTAGCGGGACCGATCACAGCGTGGTCTTGGCTGACAGCCGCCTGGCCGGCGAATTTGTCGTAGCTCTGCCTGTGATCGTAATCGGATAGTCGTTTGTCCTTGCCGAAATCGTTGGCCAGCGCCGTGCCAGGCGGCTGGAAGTACGGTTTCGCGTTACTCGACACTTTCAGCGACTCGAACGGCTTCACCTGATACCTAGGCGGTTGCAGCAACTGAGGCACGTACGGTTCACCGTAGTGTCTGTTCTTCGTCGAGGTGCTCGGCGACGACGGCGAGTTCGTGGTGGAGGTGTACCCTTTGATGAAATACGTGGCTGCCTTTATCGGGTCTGGCGGTTGATGCAACGACGGAGGGCCAAACTGTGGCTGTGGGCGCAGGTACGCGTTGCTGTCTCGCAAGATCGGCTTCGATCGGTGCGGTTGGTCCACCAGGTCGAAACGATAGGCGTCTTTCGGCGGCGGGATCAGGAACGTGTACTCACGCGTCTCCGAGCCGACGTGTTTGCTCGCGTGGCCGGATTGAGCCTCGCCGCGCGCTTTCGCCGCGGCGTGGCCCAGCACCGTGAAACTACCTAGTATACTGGGTGGATTGTAGTCGTGATGGGAGGATGATGGTTTGCCCTTTCGGTGAGGCTTCAGCTTCTCCGAGGCGGCCATGTGCTCTTGAAACTTGCCGAGAACTGGGTGCAGAGGAGCGTTCCGCTCGAGATTGCTCGATGGCGAGACGTTCGTCCCGATCGTTTCTTCGTAGCCGTTCGTCAATGGCCGCCAGCCGTTTGCGATCATGGATGATCGCGTTGGTGGCTGTAAGGTGAAGTTAGCGTGAAACTAGAAGTTTAGTACTCGTGGCAATCATTGGACTGCGGGATTCTAAGCAAATTTGCAGTTTCGCGGATCAGGAATTGAGAGACAATGGAGCCTTGACAAACAATTGTAGAAAATACTATATTTTCGATGTTTTATTAGAGTTTAGACATCTTTGGACCTTTTTACTGGAAAAATTAAATAACATTTTGTGCGACAAAATATTACAACTATTTTATAAGCAAATATCGAAAATATTAAATATATTAAAAATATTGAATAATATTATCAAATATATATTTAATAAATATTGGCTTTAAAATATTAAAATAATAATATGTCGTTTGACCTGGAAGTTATCTTTTTGGGAAATATCAGTGGATCATTCAGTGATTGAATAAATTTGTTGGAGCTTAATTTCACTTTAAATTCTGTCCATTGAAGACTGGATTCAGTTCGGAACCAGTTGAGCTGGCAAGAAAATAACATCAGTTTTCAAAGTGTTACTTGTAAGGAATAAAACAAGCATTCACCAGAGTGTGTGCAGAGTTTCTTCTCCCATTTTGAACCAAGTCCTTGCATATTTTCTATTAAAGCACGCTCCGAGAACAGAGCTCCTTTGTGACGTATCGATTGAAGAAATTGGATAAATATTAGCTGAGCTAGTCAACCAAAGAGACGTTTAATGGATCGCGTGCATTAGCTTAAAAACAGTTTCAAAGCTAAATGTTTTAGAAGCTTCGACAAAGAGGGACGCTGTTTACCATACCGGGTTCTCGCACGTGAAAAATGAAGCAGTGTTCCTTCCGGTTGCATTAACTGCAGCCTAGGGATCGATCCCTTCCGTCAACATAAATATCTTATAAATCATCGTACACCTTGCTAACGAGAAGTAAGGATACACTTCATGAATATATATTTTTACAAAAGTGCAAAGTGCCTTTCAATTTAGGAGCGAAGCTTATCGACTCATTGTGTTATTGTTATTTCACGTGACAATTGTTTAAATTCGACGAACGGATATAGACAAAATTAACTGTTTGACGGAATAAAAGTAATATTTATTTTCAAAATTGCACCAAGAATTTCGAATTGTTTTCCGATACGTTAAACAAATGGAACTCGTCCTGTTACTTTCAGAAAACAATGTTATTTTCCATTCCATTCGATTCGACAAGGACGAAGAAAAAAAAAAAAAAAAAAAAAAAAAAAAGAAAAAAGAGTTGCAGCAAGTCTGTCAAATAGATTTGCTTCCTCTTCGCGCTTTCTCCGTACGTTTCGACGTAATTTAACACTGGTAAGAATAAACAAACCGAGGCAAGGATGCTCGGCTCGCTCGCAAGAACATTTAATTGCGCCAGCTTAATTACGTTGTATCATTGATGTTTACTTACGGGTTTGTTATCGGAACGGTCTATCGACACGGTGATTGCACCGATGCAGGTGAAGAGGCCCATCGCGAGGACACCTGTGAACATTTTGCAAGAGGGCTAGTTTCGAAATAATCACAACGATTCGCTAACACCAGATATGAAAAAAATAAGCGATTACTTAAAAATGAATTTATTTGGACAGGAGAGAATTGTTCTAGCCGGAAAGCAAGAGTGAATTTAAATTTTAATAAAATTTAATTACAATGAGAATTGTTTCCAATTAATTATCGCCCGCGCAAAAGACTAGTAGAAAAATTAATTGTAAATAATTAATATTAAAATTACTCGGTTTAGCTTGGAAATGGTATTCAGTCTAATCAAACCAGCGCTCATCGAACGCCTCTTTCAAATCTGTTCCAAGTTTTGGCCTACTCACAATTCAGGGTTAGTGTCGGCCGCATCGTGACAGACCATGGGACCATTAAACACCACAGTTCTGTAACAAAAACATTCGTTCGATCGTTAGACAAGACTCGCCCGCATGGCAGATTTCTTGTTGGATCACGAAAGTTAGAGATCGGTGGAACAATTCGCGTAAACAACGAGCCAGCGGGCCGGTTTACTGGAACACGAGGGCAGGAAAAGTGTAGCGCGACGCAGAGAAAGGAAGTATAGAAAGCATCTATTCGCCAGCTGTTTCCGCTGCTGCCCTGTCATTCTTTCTCTTTTGGATCAAGGTAACAGTGAAACTCGCCGAGAAGACGGAAGAATTTCTCTGCACGTTCACGAGGTAACCCGGTTGTAATCTGAAATTTCCAATGCTGGACGGACGAGCTTTCGTCGAGGCCGGAAACGGACGAGTTTCGAACGATCTCGATCGACGACGATTGTCTCGAGGCACACTTATTCCCCAGCGAACTTGAATCTCTCTCGGAAATTAGTGACTATTCTTTTTCAGAGATATTTCCTCCGGCAGTTTGAAATTTTCCGATTACTTCGGGATTGTCTCTTCGAGAGATCGTCGATCTTGAAGTTGAATCAACGGTTTCCAATTTTTCTCTCTCTCGATTTTCCGAAAATTTTCGGAAAGCTTCGAACTTTGCACTTATCGAAACAACACTTGTTTCCTATAGAATTGAATTTGAAATTGACGACGACGACGGTCGATATTCTCTCTGAAATTTTCTGATAATCAAAGTCTATCGTGTTTCGAAATTGGACGTAGCAGTTACTAGCTAGATATTCAATTTCCCAATTTTCCTAATTAAGTTTCTGCACGATGTCACGTGGAACGAACGATCGTTGGTCATGCGAGGACGCTTAGGATAATCGTCAAAGTCCTACTGAAATTTTCTGAAAACTCATCGGCGAGAGGAAATTCTAAATATTTTGAGCTACCTGTTTTATCCAGCTTTTCGTGGAACTCGAGCTTTTCCTGGCTCAGCGAATATTACACATATACAGTATATTCCTCGAACAGAAAACTATTGATTTAT